GGAGGGTCCCACATGGCGCGCAGACCTCTCCTGCCGCCCGCTGCTCCCCTCAGCAGTGTCCTTCGGTCCTTCTGCCTGCTCTGCTCCCCGCTCTGGCTCTGGTGAATTCTCTCGCCCTCCCGCGCTTCTGACTGTACCCAGTGCATGTATAAACAAAACAAACAAAGAAACCAGCAAACAAATAAATAAAGCATGCCTCTATAAAAAAAAAAAAAAAATAGTATAGTTATCCCTAGCTATTCCCAGGGGGATAGGCCCAGGACCCCTCAGAAACAGAAGCTGAAGGTGCTCAAGTCCCTTATATTAAGTGGCATTGTACTTGCATGTAACCTATATACCTCCTTCCTTATATTTTAAATCATCTCCATTATTACTTGTATTATCTAATACAGTATAAATGCTACATAAATAGCTGCTTTTAGGGAATAATGCCAAGAAAAAAATCTGTACATGTTCAGTACACAAGCCACCATCATAGGCCTAACTACATAGTATGGATTTCTTTTTTTCTTTTTTAATATGCTCTTTCTTTTTTTTTTTGAAGATTTATTTTTTATTTATACAAGAGCTGGGGTATAGGCCAGAGGCGCCGGAGGGTGAGAGGATTCACCAGAGACAGAGTGGGGAACAAAACAGGCAGATGAACCGAAAGCACTGCTGAGGGGGAGCAGCGGGCAAGAGAGGAGAGGTCTACTGCCCCATGTGGGAATCTCCCTGGCCGGCGGGGAATCAAACCCACGCTGCAGAGGCTGCGGACAGCTTCACAGCGCTGTGCTCAATCCACTGCGCCACCGGGGAGGCCCACAGCATGGATTTTCAATCTTCAGTTAGTTGAATCTACTGATGAGGAATCTGCAGGTATAAAGGGCTGACTATACTTAATTACTGCACACTTACTTACTATATGCCAGACACTGCAATAATTTTGTTTATATTATATTTAAACATAATAATCGTACAAGATAGGGTTTATTTTCCTGAGGAAAATTAATTACAGGAAGGTGAATTAACTCCAAAATGTTCATTCTTTTCCAGAATACTTATAAATTGTGCCCTTTCTCAAGGCCCAGCTCAAGGTCATGATTCCTGATGCTGTTTAGTGTTCCTGAAATACCAACACAATTCACCTATTTCAAACCTTAAATATATTTTCATAATTCTAGCATACATAATGAAAATTAAGCTTCAGGGACTCCAATTGTGTGGGCCACTTCCAATCCAATTTTGATTACACAATTTTCTAAAATCACTGGCTCCCAAAAGTGACTATGAATGAGTCAATTTCCCTAGTTCCTTACTTCCCAGTTGCCTCCCTCAAATTGCAAAGACAGAAATCAACCAACCATTTAAAGGGAAAGAGAATAATCTTCAACAAATTATACTGGGACAGTGGATAGCTACACATCAAAGAATGAACTTGAACTCCTAGTGTATTTTTTTTTAAAGATTTATTTATTTATGAATACAAGAGCTGGGGTATAGGCCACAGATGGGGGGGGGGGAGAGGTGTGAGAGGACCCACCAGAGACAGAGTGGAGAACAGAACAGACAGACAGACTGAAATACACTGCTGAGGGGAGCAACAGGCAAGACAGGAGAGGTCTGCTGCGCCATGTGGGTTTCTCCCTCGCTGGCCGGGGATCGAACTCATGCTGCAGAGGCTGCGAACTGCTTCATGGTGCGAACTGCTTTATAGTGCGGTGCTTAACCCCTTGAGCCACCAGGGAGACCTGAACTCCTACTTTATACCATGTACAAAAATTAACTCCAAAATAATCATAGAGCTAAGTGCAAGATCAACTAGAACACCCCTTGGGAAAAAAAAAGTAAATCTTCATTACACTGAATTAGGCAATGGCTTATCATATACATAACGCCAGAAGTAAAACAGACAAAAGAAAAATTAGATAAATTGGGGCCTCCCTGATGACGAAAGGGGTTAAGTGTCAGCACTGTGACAGCCACTGCAGCACCAGTTTGATCCCCAGCCAGGGAGCTGGCCCACATACTGCAGCAGACCTCTCTTATCTCACCTGCTACTCCCCTCAGCAGTGTATTTCAGTCAGTCTGCCTGTTCTGCTCCCCACTCTGTCTCTGGTGAATCCTCTCACTCCCTCACACCTCTGGCCTGTACCCCAGTTCTTGTATGCTAAATCTTAAAAAAAAAAAGAAAGAAAGAAAAATTAAATTGAACCTCATGAAAATTTAAAACTTTTGTAATCACTATATATAAAGAACTAGTCAACAATAAAAAAAAAAAAATAATCCAATTGGGCCTCCCTGTGCCCTTTCTCAAGACCCAGCTCAAGGGGTTAAGATGCAACCTATGAAGCTATTCACAGCCACTGCAGCACGAGTTCAATCCCCGGCCAGGCAGCTACCCACATGGCGCAGCAGACCTCTCCTATCTCGCCCACTGCTCCCCTCAGCAGTGTATTTCAGTCAATCCATCTGTTCTATTCCCCACTCTGTCTCTGGTGAATCCTCTCGCCCCCGCACCTCTGGCCTGTACCCCAGTTCTTGTATGCATAAATAAATCTTTAAAGAAAAAAAAAAGGATAACCCAATTGTACAACCAACCAAAGATTTCACCAAAGAAGACATATAAATGACCAATAAGCACAAGAAAAGATGCTCAATATCATTAGCTACTAGGATAGTATTTATCAAAAGCATAGTGAGCTACCACTTCGCATCTACTGGGTTAGCTATAAGTTAACATCAACGATCATCAAGGAGACGGAGAAACTGGAACCCTTATGCACTGCTGTAATGTTAAATTCCCATGCTCTATCTATTTTTACATTTTGATGGAAAACTGGCAGTTCCTCAGAAAGTTAAACAGAGATCCCATATGAACCAAAATGCCACTCCTAGGTATGTACCCAAGAGAATCAAAAACCGTTCACACAAAAAAGTACACACAAATTTTCATAGCATAATCCACAATAGTTAAAAAGTAGGAAAATCCGGCCTCTCCTGGTGGCACAGGCGGTTGAGTGCAGGGCTGTGAAGCTGTCCGCCGCCTCTGCAGTACGGGTTCCATCCCCGCCGGCCTCAGAGCAACGCACATGGCAAGCAGACCTCTCATGTCTTGCCCGCTGCTCCCCTGAGCAGTGTATTTCAGTCAGTCTGCCTGTTCTGCTCCCTGCTCTGTCTCTGGTGAATCCTCTCACCCTCCCGCACATCTGGCCTGTACCCCAATTCTTGTATAAGTAAATAAATAAATCTTAAAAAAAGAAAAAAGATGGAAAACCTAATTGTCCATCAAATGATGAATGGATAAAATGTGGCTTATCCACACATGGGAGATGATTGGGCCATAGATTTATCAAGTACCAAATGAAGGAAATGTAACATGGGTGAACCCCGCAAACATGCTGAAGCCAAGCACAAAAGGTCACATATTCTATCAATCCACTTACAGAGTAGGCAAATCATAGACACAGAAAGATTAGTGGTTTCAGAGAGCTGAGACGGTGGCTGCTAATGGTACAGGTGCCTTTTAGAGGTGATAAAAAGGTCCTCAAATTGTGCTGGTTACATAACTTTGTGAATATGCTAAAAACCAGTGAACTGTACACTAAAAACTAGTAAACTTTATAGTACGCGATCTGTCACCACAAAGCTTTTTTAAAAAATTATCTTATCACAGGGTTTCTGGCCACACTCTCTACTGAAGTATTAAAGAAAAACTGTATTGGGTTTCAATACCCTATTTCATTTCTGAGAGTGAAGCGTCACCAACCTCTGTGCTTTTCTAACTCAGGCTTTAGTAAAAGCCCAAAAGCCTTTCCTTCTTTCCTTAGCACAGGATATTTACTTTGGGAGAGAGCTCTCATGTTGGCCGAAGAATCTGAGGGCTCTCAATCCAGACAATACTCTTCTTAAGCAGCCCCTCATACACAATGACTTAACACACTTAAACCACAGATAGAAAACGCGATGTATGTGTAAATTACATAACCTGCACGACTTCAAAAGACTGGTTTATTTTAAAATCATGTATCCTTTATTCCCAGTTTTTTCAACTGGCCCATGAAATCTCGGGAAGTTTCAAGTCTTAAAGACTGTGCCCCAGGAGGGCCCCAGTGCCTGCGCACTGCTGGTGTCCCATGTGGTCCTTTGTTTCAGAGACTGCTAATACCTTATCACAACCTATGTGTTTGGCTTACATGCCAGTTCCACCACTTACTGTGCTGTGCGCCTTTGGGCCAAGTTGCTCAAACCGTGTGCCTCAGTCTGCTCGATCCTAAAATGGGGCTAACGATACCTGCACCGCTGGTGTTTAGCAAAAATAAAACGCTGATGCTCTGAACACAGCACCTGGCACCCAGAGACGCGAGGCAGCTATCGTCTGGATGTGCTGGTCTATGACAAATCTCTGTCTTCCCAAATACTTGCACCTTGACTAACATTACCTTCTTTTTCGGTAAAAAAAAAAAAAAAAAAAAAAAATCTAGGTTCCCCCCCCCCCAAAAAAATCTCCGTTGAGAGGCTAAAAGGAGAGAAAAAAGCAAACTCCCAGCACACAGCAAAGGCTGAAAAAAGATGTTCCCTGCCCGTCGGTCACCAAGGTCAAGGCAGTTTCTTCAGCATCACCCACCGCCCCGCGCCGCTCCCAGCTGGGCTCCGGGGACACCCCGCGGCCGCGCAGGCGGCGTCTCCCTCGCCGCCCCCCGCAGCTCCAGGTCAGGGAGCCATTTTTTTCCCCAGTTAAGAGAACGAAAAGGTGCAAGAGATGAAAGGAGCAAAACACCCCCCTCCGCCCCCCCCAGTCGTTCGCGTTCCCAGGACGGTCGGGTCCAGCACACAAAGACCTCGCTGCGCCCGGGGAGCCCCTCCCCGCGCCCCCGGCCGTCCAGCTGGGGGGAGGGGCGCCCCCCGCGGACCGGCCCGGGCCGGAGGGGGCTCGGGCCGGGGGCCCGGGGGCGGCAGGTCACGGGGCGGGCAACCGCGGGGAGGCGGCCGCGCAGGGGTCGCGGGCGTTCGGCCCTCACCTTCGCCCGCTTGCGCCGGCTGGTCCTTCGCCCCTCCGGCGTCTCCGCGATTCCCGTCTCCATGGGGGTCGCCGATCCCGGCAGCACGGTAGGCCCGGCCTGCGCGCCGGCGGACCCGGGGGCTCGGCCAGGCCCCCCGGAGGCGAGGCCCGCGGCGGCTCCTTCTTGCGCGGCGTGCGCTCCCCGGCCGCCCCCGGCCCCGCCTCGGCGGGGCCCGCCAGGCCGCGGGCGGCGCGGCCACCTCAGAGCCGTTCTCCGCGCCGCCCGCCGCCCCGGGGCCGGCCTCCGTCCCGGCCGCGGCCGCCGCAGCGGCGGCCGCCGCCGCCTTCTTCCCAGACAACATCTCGGGCCTCCTGGCCGCCGCCGGCCGCAGGGGCCGCTCGGTCAGTCGCTCCGTGGGGCCGGGGCCGCCTCGCCTCGCCTCGCCTCACTTCACACGGTCCGCGCGCAGCCAACCGCCGCCGCGTGCGCACGCGCCGAGCGCGCTCCCGCGGCGTCCGGACAAAAAGGGCCCCGACGCCCGGGGCCCCCGCCCACCCCCGCTGCCATAGAGCGGCGTCCCGGCGGCTAGAGCGGCGCGCTGGCCCAGAAGGCGGTGCTTCCTAGAGCGCCCCCTAGACCTTTGGCGCGGACCACTGCACCTTGCAGGTTTTAGGGCGGCTGGGCCAGACCGCACCTCCGCGTGCAGCCCTTTGCTCCGGCGAATGCCTGCGTGCCCTCCCTCATCCGTTCACCTGCTCGTTCGTCAGTTCACCCCATCTTTGTTAATGCTGACTGCGTGGCAAGGGTTTAATGATTAATTTCTTACTTTCAAAGCGTGTGAGGTCTAGTGAGGGGGAAGCACTGGAATGTAACTGGTCAATGTATTCATAATGGTCTTGGACTGGGGAGATTTTGGAGAGCAAGCGAGTTTCAGTGTAATGAACAGACGTTAGGAAGTCCAAGTTTGAGTTGAACAGGATTGCTCTTGCCTCCAGGGCTTTGTGCCTGCTCTTCTTATAATCAGGACCCTTTGCCCCTGTTGGCACTTCCTCACCTGCACTTCCTCACCAGCACCTCCTCCCACTTGCTGTGCTCCCACATCTCTTTCTACTCCAGGTAGAAATACTGTGGTTTATTCTTTTAGGGATTCTTCACTGACCCAAGACTGGGACAGGTTTTGTGCTTTGCAAGCTTATTTCCACTCATTATACAGAAATATACTTGGTTTCTTACATGTATCTGATAGGGCGTTAGGGAGAAAGGGGAGGGCACCACACCTACTGGAGTACAGAATCTGCACCCACACACCTAGCATAGGCTGCAGTGCACACTGGATGACTAATGATCTGTGTTCTTTAAAACTCTTGCTTTAAAATGAGATTCCTGGGCCTCCCAGGTGGCGCAAGCAATTAAGCACCGCACTATGAAGCAATACACAGCCTCTGCAGCACCAGTCCGATCCCTGGCCGGCCAGGGAGCAACCCACAAGGCCCAGCAGACTCTCCTGTTGTGCCCACTGCTCCCCTCAGCAGTGTATTTCAGTCAGTCTGCCTGTTCTGTTCCCCGCTCTGTCTGGTGAATCCTCTCACCCTCCACATCTCTGGCCTGTACCCCAGTTCTTGTATGCATAAATAAATAAACCTTTAAAATAAAATGAGATTCCTGCCCTAATGATGCCCAAAGCCATGCTGGACACTGACACCATCAGGTGTACCAGAATCAAGTTAACCCAGAGGCTGATACCAAGTTTTGGGGCTGAATGTGAGGAATACCAGAAACATCAACTGTGATGGGCTATTTTGATGGGCTGTTTGCTTATGACTGTCTTTATGCAATTCATTATAAAAAAGGCCAGCTTGAGATGATATGGCAGAACGGTTTTTACAGGGCACTATGCCCACTGTTCTTTCAGATCAATGGCCATTGCACAACAGTTTCTTCAGGGTGATACGCCCACCATTCTCAGATCGCTGGCCTGCTGTCTAAGTAGAAACGCTTGCAAATTCAATTTCTGTCTCTGCTTATTAGCTCTTTGGTAGTGACAGGCAGCAGGACCCAGCATTTCTGGCAACATCTTTTCAAAGTGTAATTTGAAAAAATGATTCCACTTACATGAAGTTCAAGAAATGGTAAAATCAGCCTCTAGTGATAGAATCCAAATGTGAAATGAGTTTGATGGCTCTTTGTTTCAGTGGTGCAGTGGAGACATTGACCCTGGTGCAGCTGGGTTTCACCTGGCAGTGGAGTTTGCATTTTGAAACCTGGGCCAGTTTTGAAAACATGCCAATCAGGTTTTAACCTGTACCAGGGCCAACAGGGTTTTGAAAGCCTCACCTCTGAAGGGAGCAAGGGGAGGAGCCAAGGGACTCTGAAAACAATAAAAGGCAGGGAGCAGATGGATTCAGACACTCTCACCTGGAAAGCACTTGGCTTCAGATCTCCCTCTCATTGCTTAGCATCAATTGCTGCTCCTGGCTCCCACACAACCAGTACCATGTCCTGACTGCTGCCACTGGCCTGTGTCCACTATCTCCAAGAGCTGTCCACTACTACCTGATCCTCGGCACCACATGCTAACCAGCACTACTGGCCTGTGCCCACACTACCTCTAGAGCTGTTTCCTGTTGCTGTAATCTCTTGACACAGCCTGGTCTGGCCTTCTGATCACTGCCTCAGCAGTGCCACTTGGGATCACCTCCAGCTGTCACCATGACTTGGGTCTGGATCTACCACTCACTGATGTGCCACCATCTCTAGGCTCTCATCAGAGGGATACCACCATCCTTCATGAGCAGCTTTTGATTTGGACCATTGGACACTGTGGACACTATCTGGAGTGGGATGGAAAGCCATTTGTGGCCTTAGGAACTCTTTCTGTTAGCATGTGCCCCCAAACCTCCATACTTTAAATGGGTTCTGCCATCTGCTGCATAAAGACAGCATATTCTTTATTTTTTTTAAAGCTACTTTTTAATTTTTTTAAAGATTTACTTATTAATGCATACAAGAGCTAGGATGTAGGCCAGAGGTGAGGGTGGGGTGGTAAGAGGATTCCCCAGAGACAGAGCGGGGAGCAGAACACACAGATCTACTGAAATACACTGCTGAGGGGAGCAGCGGGACAGTCAGGAGAGGTCTGCTGTGCCATGTGAGTCAGCTTCCTGGCCGGGGATCGAACTCGTGCTGCAGTGGCTGCAGATAGCTTGCTAGGGCTGAGACTCAACCCCTTGCGCCACCAGGGCCTGACAAAGCATATTTGTAGCATGTAAGATCTTTAATAGAAAAGAACTTTAACAGTGTAATTGCATAGCGAGAGAAAAGAAGAAAGGATGATAGTTTCCCAATAAAATACCCCAAATTACCCATCCCCTTATGGGTAAATGCCCTGCCCAATGGGGTTGGCCCAAAAGCTTGCCACAAGTCTAAGGTACCTTCTGGCAGGGAATCATAGAAAAGGGGCAGAAGGGGCCAGGCAAGTCAAGGATGAAAGGGGCAAAGTCAAAGTACAAATCAAGGTAAAGGCTGCCATTGTCAGCCTCTCCCCAGGTCTCTCACGCACGTCTCTTCCAAGTGTCTTCTTCCATGTCCCCTAAGTCCCTGGCGCAAGTCCAAGGCTGCAAGAATGTGCAGTTTCTTCTTCACATGTCTGTCAGCTCCACATGCCTCCTCCAAATCTTCTCTCCCAAGTCCTTTTTCTAGTGTTCCCCTAGTAACTCAGCTCCACCCTTCTTTAAGTGGGGCAGGGAACATGGAACCTCCCCTTTTTACAGTACACTGTCACATTTCCTTTTTTTTTTTTATCTCTAATTTCCCTCTTATAGATAAACCCTGTTGTTACACTTTGCATTTGAGATTGTCTTGCAATTGTAAGCACGGGTGAGGACCCACAAACTGCAACATTCCCCAGGTTTGCACCTTTTCACGATCAGTGGTTGCCTGGTATGAGGTGGAAGTGTTTGCAAAAGAGTCATAGAGAACTTGCTTGGGGGTGATGGAAATGTTTTATATCTTGATTGGGGTGGTGCATTCCTTAGTCAAAACTCAATGAACTCTACATATGAAACAGGTTTATCTTATTTTCCATCACTGTACTTCAATGAAGTCCAACTTTTTTTTTTTTTAACTACGCAAAAGGAAAGAGGCGATTAAGGTCAGGAAAACTAGAAGCTGTAAAAGCACTAATTATAGTACAAGGTAAGGCTCAGCTATGAACAACATTGGCACAGCTATAATAACAGAAGCAATGAATATTGTTTTAACCAAAGTGACAGAATTATATTGAGAGAATGGAAAACAGAGACAGCATAAAGGAGAGGAATAAGAAGCATTTACAGAAGCAGGGATGGAGGGTAGGGTGTTGGTGTGCAGAGGGATGAGCTATATCCTCCTCTTCCTTCATAAAAAGATAATATATAATGTCAAAATGAAGAAATCTAGAAATAGGGGCCTCCCTGGTGGCGTAAGGGCTTAAGACGCAACCTATGAAGCTTTCAGCAGCCACTGCAGCACGAGTTTGATCCCTGGCCAGGGAGCTACCCACATGGCAGAGCAGACCTCTCCTGCTCCCCTCAGCAGTGTATTTCAGTCAAGCTGCCTGTTCTGTTCCCCACTCTGTCTCTGGTGAATCCTCTCACCTCCCCATAACTCTGGCCCGTACCCCAGTTCTTGTGTGCATAAATAAATAAATCTTTAAAAAAGAAATCTAGAAATAGCAGTGTAAGCAAACTGTTTAGATATATCCAGATAAATGCCAGAAAAAAAAATCTAAAAAGTTGGACTTGGTTGTCTCTGAGTCTTGGAACTTAAAGGTGGGAATGAGATAGAAGGTTAAATTTTATTTGTTTTAAACCCTGCAGCTCTGACTTGTTTGTATTTTTAAAATTTGATAAAACTTAAAATAAGATTTAAAAGTGTATCCTTTGACCGAGCAATTCCACTTTCAGGAAGACATTGTAGGGAAATATTTACGCATCTAAAATTTTAACTTTCTCACTATTTACTTTGGGTTATATACAACAGTAAAGAAGAACTAAACTAAAGACCCAAAAAGTGAAGACTAATTGAATATACTGGAATATCAGTCATTAAATAAACATTTCAGCACAAAGAACTCATAGAAAATAGTGAGCAGATGTCAAAGATTTATTAACTTCTTATGGAGAGAAACCAAACCTGCTTCAAATGAGAATGTGAGAAACTAATATATGGTCACTGGACAGGGGGAAACTGGATATTGTTCCATTGTACATCTGTATCCATGTTTATGCATTCATCCATTGATGGACTTTAGGGTTGCTTCCACCTTTTGGCTATTGCAAATAATGCTGCTATGAACATGGTTGTATAGTTAACCTCTTTGGGTCCCTGCTTTCCATCTTTTGGATGTAGATCCATTAGTAGAATTGCTGGGGCAATTATCCATTTTTAAAACCTTAACATCTGACTTTACAGATCTGGGACCCTAATAAATATAAACAGTAAATCAAAGTTACCTTCCCCTAAAGCATCAGATGAGTGATAAATAGACAAATTAGACTATACTGTAGTCTGGCTGTGAACCTGCAGTAATCTTTTTGGCCTTATTCTCCCATTTTGGATTATTTTCTTTGTGGTCTCCTTTGCTGTGAGGGTAGGGGCCTTTTATTGCTGGCCATTTGTTTCCAGTGGCAAGGCCCAGCATGTTGGATGAGTAAGGTAGCACGAAGGCCTATATGACCTGGCTATTGAGGATGTCATGAGATGATGCTTGCAAACTGCTTGTCAAAGGTCTGCCTGCTTCAGACACAGGGACAGTTAACATTATTGTTATGCGTCAGCGGAGGGGAGGGGGCCCGGTTATGACTCAGGGCAGTGGGCAGCCATGGCTCCTATCATGGAGGGCAACCATCCCAAGTGGGGACCAAGGCTGGGTTTGGGGGCCCGTGTGCCTCTAAACTGTAAAACTGGGGGAACTAATGTCCCTTTTTAGGCATCTCCATGGGATGCTTGCTTCCTCAGGCACCATAGGAGCATTGTTGGCTGAACTGGTCAACTATAAACCACTCTTGATTGCCATTCTATTCCTTCTGCTGTTGCTTAGCAACTGGCTGGTCAAGCATGAATTCAGGCCCACCCCCCCAGAGCCCCAACAGGTGAGCAAGAGGGGCCTTAGCTTCTGCTGAAGGTAATAGGGTATTTATAGGTAGGTGGAGGGGCAGGGGGACAGGGAAGGTAACTGGATAATGGGGCAAGACTGACGAATCAGATCTCTACTCTAAGTCGCTGATCTCAGGCTTCCTCTTGGGTGATGGAGGACAAAACACTTACTTCACAGCTTTACAGTCGAGCTTTCATTTGCCTGGAGTATAAAATAGGGACCATCCCAGGCGTGGCTGAAGTCAACATGCTTTGACAATAGTCACGTTTACCACTTTAAAGTGGAAAAAAATTAAAATGGATGAACCAAAGATGGATGCCTCATGATAGTTTTATCTCTAAAATAGATAAATGGGTCAACGGAAATATACCTAGGTTATGACATCTTTTATATAAAATTCTTGTTTATTTATTTAGAAGATTTATTTATTTATTTATACAAGCACTGGGTACAGTCAGAAGCGCGGGAGGGTGAGAGAATTCACCAGAGCCAGAGCGGGAGCAGAACAGGCAGACTCACGAAGTACACTGCTGAGGGGAGCAGCGGGTGCGGCAAGAGAGGTCTGTGGGACCCTCGCCTGGTGGCCAGGGATAGAACCGGCGCTGCAGAAGCTGTGGACAGCTTCACAGCCCAGTGCTCAACCGCTGCGCCACCAGGGGAGGCCCTATATAAAATTCTTAAAAACATATTTTTGGCATGTCTTGAATAATATAATTTTTATTTTTTTTAAGATTTGTTTATTCATGCATACAAGAACCGGGATACAGTCCAGAGGTGTGTGGGGGTGGTGAAAGGATTCACCAGAGACAGAGTGGGGAGCAGAACAGGCGGATCTACCGAAATACACTGCTGAGGGTAGCAGCGGGTGAGACAGGAGAGGTCTGCCATGCTGTGTGGGATTCTCCCAAGCTGGCCGGGATCGAACTCACACTGCAGAGGCTGAGGATAGCTTCGCAGTGCTGCGCTCAACTGTCCATGCCACCAAGGAGTCCCCAAAAAATATAATTTTTAAATGGCTTTAAATGGTCCAGCAGTTTGTAGCTGAATCCCCAAAGAAAAAGCAACCTTAATAGCTGGGGGAGGGGCGGATGAGGATTATAGAGAGGAGTATGATTGAAGCCACTGAAACATGGTAGTGGGTGATTTCCCAAGGCCTGAAATGGCTCAGAGAGGGACATGATAGTTTTATCTCTAAAATAGATAAATGGGTCAACGGAAATATACCTAGGTTATGACATCTTTTATATAAAATTCTTGTTTATTTATTTAGAAGATTTATTTATTTATTTATACAAGCACTGGGTACAGTCAGAAGCGCGGGAGGGTGCAGGGTCTGGGCACCGGATTAAGGGTCTATTGGATTAAGGGTCTATGTCCCCCATGGGTGCAGGCCATTTCCTTGATTCCTATAAACCAATGGCAATTGTGGGTCCTGGCAGTTTGGGGGCTGTCCTACAGGCTTGGGCTAAGAAAGGACCTTTCCTCCCTGGGCCCCAATTCTCACATCCCCAAGATGAGGCAAAGAAGCCCACCTCGCAGACTGCTTATTGGAATCAATTAAGATGGCACTTATAAATCACTGACCTGGAAAAGGATCTCCTTATTAACCAGTTTTCCTCTTTTTGTGGGTGGTGTGACACTTAGGAAGAGGCAGAGAAACCAAAACCTCCTGAAGCCCAACCCCAAGCCGAGTGCAAAGCCGAAGACAAAGCTGAAGACAAAGACAACGACAACGACAAAGACAAAGACAAAGACAAAGACAAAGACAAAGACAAAGCTGAAAGCAAAGCCAAAGCCAACGGCAAGGTCATGAACGCCAAGGAGATTGAGAGGCTGCATGCCTGTTTTGCCCTCCAGGACAAGATCCTCGAAAGGCTTGTGTTCAGCGAAATGAAGCTGAAGGTCTTAGAAAATCAGATGTTCATCATGTGGAATAGGATGAATCACTCCAAGGGGTCAAGCCGACATCGGACTTACCCCCTGAAGAAATACAGTCTGCGGAGGCACGAGTCCATTTTCTCCTGTTCCTCTGAGTGCACGTCTACTTCCCCCTGAGGAGAGGCCTCTTCTGATGTTCCCTTTACTCAGTAAAACCCAATTAGAGACTATTGATTTTTCTTATTACATCACACCAGAGAGGAAGATGGCAGGCTGAAAGGTCGCCTCTGTCCTCACCAGGTCAGCCAGGTACCACGGGCTCTAGATCCCTGCCCTGCCTCTCAGTCGAGCACCTTTGCCCCTGATCCAGGGACCTCTCCTGCCACCCACCCTCACCCCCCGCTGACAGGTGGAGCAAGCCCCGCCAGGGCTCGGCGTGCTCATGTGCCAACGTGTTCTCGCCGTGGCTGGTGGATCCCACCCCGCTTCTTAGTGTGGGCTGATCCCCAATCAACCTTTCCCCCTCCCGCATGCTTTCTGCCTTAGGATACTGCCAGAGTTTCCTAAACACCAGTCATGACCGTACTCCTGTGGTTTTTGCTAGAGTCGTGAACCACCTGAATGTTTAAGTCCACATTGCTCCTTTACATTTGACTATTTTTCCCTTCAATAAATGTATTTATTCTTTAAATAAATTCATAACTCTGTAAGAGAAATAATATAAAAGGAAATAATTTCTCTGTAAGTTAAAACACAGTATCATCTGCCTGACATGGAATAGAAGAGTCAAGATAGTGAAGACCCAATGAGGTTGGTGAGTCCCAACCAGAGCCGGTGGCCCTTGTGAGTTTTGGGTTTAAAGAGAGATTAGCGAGTGTTAGTCTGAGAGACAGGCTCACACCGAGCTGGGACTTTTCTCCACAAGGAGGATGGGCAAGGAAATCACTGCTGCGCCGTGGGATCCAGCGTGACTTCATGACTTGCCTAAGGCCCTCTCACTCCCCACAAGTCTTCTGCATCCTAAACTGGGTGACTGGCCACCCCCGAGTGCATCTTCTTGGCTCACAGGGTTTCTTCCTCTCAATCCTTGATCTCCCACTTTCTGCCGTTCCAGCGCTTCCCTGCTTCCCTCCCCGCAGCGATAATGCACCTCCAGCCTGAGTGCCCACTCTCCTAGGTCAGGGTGGGCTCATCATACAAACCCCTACTGGGTTAGTGGGGCCCCCCTCGCCTAGGGGAGACCCCATTTGGGTCTTCTACTGTGGAGTGTATCACAATCAGCTGGGATTTGATTTGTACACATTTTTATATTCTCTCCCCACCATCCCAATAGATGACGAGCTCTTTGAGGACAAGCAGAGTCTCTAGTTCATCTGTCTATCCTCCCCACCCCAGTGAACCCAGTGACTAGGCTACAGTCAGTGCTCAATAAATAACCTCTGTGACGGCTAATCACCATCTTAAATGTCCTGGCATTCTCTCTGCCTCCTCATTTGATGCCCTCGGTCCTTTGTCATATTGTTTAAGATCAGGATTTCTGGAGCAAAACTGCCTGGCTTGAAATCCCGACTCTGTCAACTCCAGCTGTGTGATCCTGACAACTCTAAGTTGTTTATTCTTACGGTGCCTCCGTTTCCTCAGCTGTAAAATGGGGACTGTACCAACACCCACCTCCTCAACTGTGAGGATTAGATGAATCACTACACCTCCCCAGGTCTGTGCTCACATGATTCCCTCAGGGAGCGAATCCCCCCGACTTCCCTATCAAAACCCACCACCCTCCCTGTGGGTTGAATATCTTCTAATCACCCCCCAGGCCCATTTGCATCCTTCTCCTGTCTTCTCCCATCTTTTCTGCCAGGGGCCAATCTACAGGGCCTGCATCATCAGCTTCCTTTGCCCTGTGGCTCCCAGTTGGACTTGGCCAGTGGGCTAACCCTCTGGCAGAAGGCCAGAGGGGACGTGGAGGTTGAGGTAGTTATTTCCCCAGCTCCCCCCTGGGGGTTGTGTAGCTGGTTGGATGCCTTCACAGAAGGGACCCTCTCCAGGAGTGCCTTTCTATACAACTCTCTCCTTCCAGGTTCCCTTTGGGCCCGTGGGCAGTAGCAAGTCCCCCCAGTTACCAGCCTAGGGTGACTGCACCATCCTGCAGGGTCCCTATAACTGCACACACCTTTGTAAACAGCCTCTTATACAACTTCACAGTCAATGGTCTGTATGGCCAAGCCATAGGACCCTCCAGAACCGTACCATTGGGAGGATAACCATGGGGTGACCCCTGCTGTAGAAGCAGTTACAGCAATTCAGTCACAAAGCTGATCTGGCTGTGACACATTAGTGAGCTCACAATTAGGCCCTGCGTCTTGAGGAGACAGCAGCTGATGGGAAAGAGCTGATCAAGACCACGTGACCATCGCACCCACTCTGGGGCCCTAGATCCTGGGCCTACAATAGAAAAACCATGGAGAAGTGAGGTGGCCCTGCCAGGAAGTCACTGATGCCCCCCACACCCCACCCAGAGTGTTACTTGCCAGCGAAATGTTGACCTGTGGCTCAAAGTTGCTCCAGATGGGGCACCATGATCTGGAGATTGGACCAGTTCACACTTGGCAAATGGTATGTAGGGGGTTCTGACAGCTACAGACATGCTATAGGACGCTCTCTTATGGCATGTGGGGAGCACCGGGACACTCACTTCTGGGTGTGCTCATGTTCCTGATACGTGTATTTCTGGCAGGGTGCTCTGTGATGAGGAAACCCAGTTTACAGCCACTTCTCCCAGCTTCGTGTCATGCCCACATGGGATTTGCTTGCTCTTCCAAACTTGCCACCTGCAGGTGGCAGATACAATTGCGCCTTGGTATGACCAAGCCCAGGAGCACCTGCCACTCCCTTGTCATCCTGTGCAGTCACCGAGGAGGGGAAGGGTCCACGCGCTATGCCAGGCAGTGTGATGAGCCCTGGGTTCCGATAGGGTCATCGCTCTGGAAAAAGGAGCGATTATCTGGCTCATTCAGGGGACATGACAGGTCCCAGCTGACCTAGCAAGAACACACCAACCAAACTCAGGAAACGGACCAGAGTGGAGGGGGACAGAAGGTCTTGCCTCCTCTTACAGACTCGAACAGACTGAACTGCCTCTGGCAGCTACCCAGGCTGGGGCCCAGGGCATGAACCTGTCACCATACCCTTCCCAGCTGTGGGCACCTCATGGGTGTCTCGCTCTCTGACAATGGTGAGGGTATTGACCCTTGGTGGCCACAGTCCTGCCTGCTGAGTCTTGGGCCTCCACAACCAAGTTTCCATCTCCCACATGGATGGTGCTGAGGCCTCTGGAAGCACATTAGCCAGTCCCCTTTGAGTCCCAGGATTCATGCTGTGGGTATGGGGCCTTCCTTGCTTTCTTTTTGGACACGTCACCTGCATATGATTTTTCACATGACCGTGGATGTGGGCACAGCCAATGGCCCCAGCCTCTGGTGCCACTGACAAGGCATTCCTGAGAATGAAGGTCGTGGTTCTCACCATTTCATGCAGGATTCCCTGCCATAGAGAGGCAGAACCCAGACGCCCAACAGTGCGGCTGTCCTGATGGAATGACTGTGGGGATGGCCAAGCTTCCCGCGCTGAGAAAGGCGTCACCATGCATTTGCTCAGGTGATGCTGGACACCGCACAGCTCTGGAGTATCTGCTGGCCAGCCAGAAGAGGTGGCCACGCGGGCCAGTATCCCCTGCGGCTTGGAGTGAACACATTCGGCCAAGACAAGAAGCCCGCGTGTCTGCCACAGGAGCAAGTGGAGTGGCTCCGCACCACTCCTCCTGAGCCCTGGGCCCTGTCCTTAGCTGTGGCGCCGCCTCCAGGCCAGATGACTCAGGGCTGAGTCTCCAGATCTCCCTTCGCCTCTGGCGACTCCTCAAGCATTGCCCACCGGCATTGGCCCTGGTGACTTCTACCTGTTGGGCAGGCTTAAGTGTTGTGAGCCCCTAGCCCAGGGGATGGACCTTGGAAAAGTCATTTGGATTCTGCTGAAGGCCCTGGAAGCTCAACCCGGGTTCCCTGCAATGAGATAGCTGGTGGTCTCCAGAGTCGGTTCCCTTTTCCTAAGCAGAAATGATTCCACACGTTTTCCATCTCCCAGGTTCTCCAGGTGCCCTCGGCCCCGAAAGCAAGGCCCCTGGGGCCTGAGCAGGTTTTCTTTCCTTGCCAGCCCCATCTCCTACCTGCCCACTTGAGAGTGCAAGAGCCTTCCGAGGAGGCGCAGGCTGGGCCGGATTCTCACGTGGGCTTCTGCTGCCACCGTGTGGTCACCCGCTGCAGGACCGGCTGTGGATTCCGCCAGCTCAATCCAGCAGCTGGAGGGGCCGGCGCTGGGGCCGCCGGCGCGCTGGGCCTCGCCTGCTCCGGGCCGGGCCGCCCGGGTGCCTCGGGCCTGCGCCGCCTACGACGCGCTCCCGCCCGCCACGGAGAGGGCCCTGCGGGAGGCCGAGCGCTGCCCCGCCGCCCCGCCCCGCCGCGGGTTACCTCACCTTGGCCGGCGAGACCTTCCCCGAGGCGCGCGCGGGGCCGGCGGGCGAGCGGCGTCGGCGCCAGTTCGGGCCCCGCGGGGGACGCCGGTGCCCGCTGCGTCCCGCGGCTGCCAGCTGCGCGTGCCCCGAGTTCCCGGGTGCCCTGCGGCTCCGCGACGCCGCCTCGCGCTGGAGGCCCGGCACGGGCGGCTCGTCAACTTCTACCCCTTGGACCGCCACGGGCTGTTCCCCGGGTTCCATGCACCGGGCCTCAACACCTACAAGCCCGTTTTCTTTTTTTTTTTTTGATTGATTCATTCATTCATTCAAGCACTGGGTACAGTCAGAAGCGCGGGAGGGTGAGAGGATTCACCAGAACCAGAGCGGGGAGCAGAACAGGCAGAAGGACCGAAGTACACTGCTGAGGGGAGCAGCGGGCGGCAGGAGAGGTCTGCGCGCCATGTGGGACCCTCCCCGGGGAATCGAACCGGCGCTGCAGAGGCTGCGGGCAGCTTCGCGGGCTTCTTGGCACAGCGCTCAACCGCGCGCCACCAGGGGAGGCCCCTACAAGCCCGTTTTTAAGACCCAGTGACCCCAGGACTCGATCGGGAGCCCACTCCTCCCTCTTCCACCTTGTAGGGGCCCACCCTGAGGTTGCAGGGGTGTTTATTAGAGAGACTGAAGCTTTGGCAAAGTGAAGAGGGAGCTCCCAGGTCCCTAGACACAGCCGATTTTTGGTGCTAGGCATGGAGGGTGGGAGGGGATGTGTGAGGCACAGAAATTCAGAGTTGGCATTTAGAAATGAGTGCCAGGGCAAGTTAGGGTTAAGATGGCAGCTTCACAGTGATAGTGAAGGCAAAGATAAACAGCTGGGACTACATCAAATTAAAGAGCTTCTGCACAGCAAAAGAGACAATAACAAAAACAAAGAGAAACCCCACCGACTGGGAGAACATTTTTGCATACAACACTGATGATAAAGGACTGATCACAAAAATCTGCAAAGAGCTGATGAGACTCAACAACAACAAAGAAAATAATCCCGTCAAAAAATGGGCAGAAGAGCTAAAAAGAAACTTCTCTGAAGAGGAAATGCAAATGGCCAACAGGCATATGAAAAAATGTTCAACATCACTTGCAATCAGGGAAATGCAAATCAAAACTACCATGAGATA